GGGAACCTTTTCGTATTGGAAGGCTGCGTTAATTTAGCTGTAATCAAGTAAGGCTGTATTCAAGAAACTTCAATTAGATGTACTTAAAAATGTACATTGTTTTGTAAAAATCTAACTATATACCTAATAATTTCAAAAAATGAAAACTATTTGTTAATTTTAAAGTTAACCTTTTAATGACTTTGTTGTGTCTGCTTTTTGTTGGAAAGCATTCGAATATTTGGTTGCAGCATGGAGGTCTGCAGTTTCAGTTGATCCTCTGGATGGTTATCAGTCATTTGTGATCTTAAGGGCATCTTGATTTGTGTTAGGTAGGAGAATGTAGATTCCCAGCATTAAGTGATTGAAAAGCAAGAAGGCATTTTGGGGGCATGTTGCCAAAGGTGTGGGTATTCTGCTTTTTTCCATATTTCAATTGGATCTTTCTTAGCATCAAACAATGACTTTAAAATGTCATCTACTGAGAGCACAATCATTTCCATCTGTAGTTCTTTAGGTGCCTTGGTGATATCCACTAGGTGAGGCTGAAATGCTAATTTGAGTGTGATGTCATGATTCTCCAGGTCAGTGAACCTTTCATTGTATTCTCCAATACAGGTCCATAGCAGCTGCGTATTCAAGTGATTCATTTATATTATCCTGTTCATCAATGATATTTGCTAACTAGGGAAAATGTTCATCCAAAATTTCCTTTTAAAGAAATGTTTTACAAAAAGATAGCTCTTTTTCAAAATGCTTGGATTTGTTGCCACATATCCTGTATAGACTTAGTTTTACCTTGCAAAGAAATATACAAGTCGTTTTGATTTGACATATCACACAGAAATGCTGCATTCCCATAGAAATCTTCTTTTAATAATTCGCATTGCTGATTCTGTTCTTCATAAAATTTATCTGTTCTCACAGAGATAAAATTTTGGCTAACGCCTGTCCCTGCCATAGCCAACGTGCTTTAGAATGATATGGCAAATCCACACTGAATACCTCATTGTTCAATATTAGCATGTTACAAAACTGAGGATGCTTGTGTTGCATTTGCACAAATGTAGTTAACAATATTTATAACTTGTTGCAAAGCGTCACTTAAAATAGTAGCTCTAGCAGAGAGATTTTGCTGATATAAGATATCATGAAAAGAAATGAGAGCATCTGGGACTCTTAATAGTTTTTTTATCTGTGCAATAAGCCCTCATGTTTTCCTATCATAGAAGGTGCACCATCTGTACATACACTCACTAAACTTACCAAATTCAGTCCAACTTCACGACATTTATCTTGAAAGTTGTTGAAGATATCTGGTCCCTGTGTTCTGTTCACAAGAGTGCCCAACGCGAGTATCTCTTCATAGCAAATAAAATCTTCTGTTATGGCCCGAATGAAGTATAAAACCTGTGCCGAGTCGGTAGTATCAGTTAATTCATCCAAAGTGATTGAATAATATATATTTTCCTGTTGACGTATTGCATGAAGTTGTCTGTTAAAAGTGGAAGGCTAATTCATGCTGCCAATCAGTTATGGTTCTCCTTGAAAGAGGCAGTTGTTTGTACTTTGAAACATTATCGGAGTCTAAGCATCCTACGACTTCAACAATGCATTCTTTCACAATTTCTACATCACCAAATGGCTTCCCTTTTTTCCCCAAGTATATAAACTACCTTATAAGTTGCTTCAGTGGCATTATTTCCAGGTCTTATTGCTGCTTGAAAGAATTGTCTTTGCTTTTGCTTTTCATCTGTTAATTTCTGCAATACAACCTTTTGCACCTCTCCCTCTAATTTAAAATATTTGTGGTCCTTATGACTGTTATAATGCCAATGGGCGTTGAATTTCTTTAATGTTGATATTACAGTGTCACAAAGCAAGCAGATCATCTTATCTTTAGCAGAAACAAGATAATATTGAGATTCCCAATCCTCATTAAAAAACCTGTTTTCTTCCTTCAGCATTCTCTTGGTCCTTTTTGATGTGATGGGCTGTTAAGCAGACAGAATTAAAAAATACTGTTGCGCTGTGCAACTATTCACAAACTCCACTTCAAACAGAAACACAGTACACCATTGTCAAAAGCTGATAACAGACGGGCGCACTTGAGCCCCATCAATTCTCGCCAGTCAGACGATGTAGCAGCCGTCAATTTAGCCCTTGGGGCTTACTAATGTTCTAATTGTGCTGGTTGATCTGGAAGGATTATTTTGTTGAAACTTATTTTATTCTTTGTTATTTTAAAGACATTCATTTTAAAAAATAAAAATCTAAAAGATGAACAAAAATGTATTAATAAAAATAAAAGGATTTGTTTTGTTAAATTTGGATTCAGTCAAAAGGCCACACTTCAGGACCTATAAGGCCACATGTGGCCTTAAGGCTGCAGGATCCCCACCCCTGGCCTAGTATATCAGAGACAAAAACATAGAATTAGAAATAAAAAACAGAAAAACTGTCAAAAAGGCAGAGTTTTGTTGCTACTTGAAATTTACTGTGGAAGATAAAAAATCATGTAAATGGGCTTAAACAGCTCACGAATTGCATATCTGAGACATCACAGTTTAATTGGTTCTGGTAGATGAGTCTACTTGAGCATCTCAGTGGGACCTCCAAAACTGTGAAAGTATAATTTAAGAAAAAATAAAAACACAATTCAAAATTATGCAAGATGTGCAGGTTCCAGGTATTCATTTAACTCATTAATAAGGGAACCAACAAGATGGTAAGCCTGGCTCAGAGAGAATGGAAGAGAGGGAAGTATTTATAGTTGCAGAAAGAAAGAATGCTTAAGATTCAAATTTAAATACCAAACTGGTTAATGTTTTACAAGGCAATGAAACAATAACCTTTCAAGTTATCTTTTCTATTTTTTAATTTTTAATTAATTAATTTTTAAGAGACAGAGTCTCACTCTGTTGCCCAGGCTGGAGTGCAGTGGCATCATTATAGCTCACTGCAACCTCTAACTCCCGGGCTCAAATGATCCTCCTGCCTCAGCCTCTTGAGTAGCTGAGACTACAGGTACACACTACCACACCCAGCTAATTTTTAAATTTTTTGTAGAAATGGGGTCTCTCTGTGTTATCCAGGCTGGTCTTAAATTCCTGGCCTCAAATGATCCTCTGGCCTCAGGTGACCCTTCCATCTCAGCCTCCCAAAGTGCTGAGATTATAGGTGCAAGCCACCACACCTGGCCTGAAAGTTACCTTTTCTACAGGACTAAAATCCTTTGCATCTCTACCAGACAAAACTAATATGTAATGCTGTTGAACAAGAATAATTTGCATCACTGTCATTTTTCTAAAAGTTAATGCATCAGGGAACCCAAACAGCATGAATGATGACCAATTGTTTAGTCATTCAGCAAATAGTTAAGGGAGGCATACTTTGTGCCGGGGCTATTCTCAGAGTTGAGGATACCACAGAGTCTGTTTTGTTCTCTGCCCCCATGGAGGTCAGAATCACCTAGCCTGTTGTATATCCCTTGCTCCAGCCTTGTTGGCAGCTTGGCCCTACCGACACCCTTCTCTAATGTTCAGCAGAACAATGCCCCCGGGATCTAGCAGTCCACATTCCGACTATAGGGAGACCAGGACATGCTAATTGTGTATTCTTTTCAAGAGAATCAGTAGAAGTTAATTAAATAAGTCAATTGTGTTTTTTCCCCTTAAATTAAAAAAAAAAAAAAACGATTAAGGAGAATTTCTATCTCTTAATATTATTTTAAAATCTGGCTGTCTTTGCTCTCAGTATTGCCTTTGACATAGAATACCCTGGTTCCAAGGAAAAGGTTTACTGTAAAGTATTCATTGGCCTTTGCTCTTCATTTCACTCGCTTCTAAGTTTTTTCAACTTTAAGAGACACAGTGATCACATTTCTGTTTTGCCCTGTTGCTTAATAAGCATTTTTTATTTGGCATCTTCTCTTCCTTCATCACTCTTGCCTTTTATTGATTTTTGGATTTTCTACAAATGTATATAGTTACTGCTTTGGTTCAACATTGTCTTAAGTAAATATGGGCGTGTGTTTTCTTTTTTGACTCCCAAATAGTGTTTTCTGTTTTGGAGGAATTTATTACATGCCTGCTTTCTGTAATGGACCAGTCACCATCCACTTACTGAAGTGTATCCTGCCATTAGTGGTTTTGTCATATAAAGCATAATTGAATGTACTTTACTGAAATCCTGTAGCATAATCCAGTTATATTGGTTTTTGTGGAGTGCTTGGGTGTATCGGCTCCTATTCTTCTCAGCAGCTTGGATCTCTCTGTAAAGTTTGGCATGTTTTATTTTTCTCATCATTCAAGAAAATGTCTTCGTTCTGTGAAGGTAATCTGATCATAGAGTTTTGTTCTACTTTAATTGTGTATGTAAACCAAATATTGATGTTTTGTATCATTTGGTATGTAAATTGAAAGCATACTTATGCAGAAATAATTATCACAAGGATTTCTCTTTTTTAAAACACTAAAATGTGTGTTGACTATCTATAAATTATAAATGAATACCTTTTCAGTTGGAAAATCTTGGTATTTCATTTCAAGTTTTTTTTTTTTTTTTAAGAATGAAATCTGTAACTCCTACAATGGAAAAAAAGTTTAAATGTAGAATTACTACATTGGGTATTTTTTACTTTTAGGTTTATTTTAGAGATAGCCTTCGTTTGAATTATTTGGTTAATAACAAAGAAAATTAAGGTTCCACAGTGTAAAGAAAAATATATAATAGGCCTTCTCACTGGGGAAAGTAATGCATTCTTCTGGGTAGATCAACAGTCTTAAAAGCTGTGCTTTTGAATTCCTGTCTTCTGCATTAGTATATTTACATCATAAAGTCATTTTTATATAATTGCATAGGTATAGAGGATAGATTGTATTTTTTTATTATACCCTCATGATATGACCGAAGTTGGGCACAGTTAAAATATTTTCAGACTACCTTTTTATGCTTTCTGTCATTGAAGAAGAGGATTGTACAAAAGCATTTAATGCTTCTCTCAAATGTTGTGTCTTCAGAGGCAAGGAACTGCTCCACCTCCGATGAAGCTGCCTCCTCCTTATAAAGCTCCATCCGATGACAGTGATGAAAATGAAGAAGAATATGCATTTACTGACAGTAAGTTCCTTTTTACTCTTCAGGATAGATGTAGAATGTATTAAATTATGCTTTAATGATTGTTGTAAATTATCAAAAATTATAGGGCTATGGATTCTTCAAAAATGTGCATGAATGTATGCTAAAAAGAAAATTTATATGTTTGAAACTTGTGGCTTTATTTCCTAAGCTTTTCTCTTTGACATTGATAGAGGGAATATTTGATATTGATAGAGAGGAAGCTTTTGTTGTATACTATTTTTCCTATATTCCCTCCTAATTGTCCTATTTCATTGTGAGTACAGAAATTCTAAGAAGTCCTTGAAACTGGAACTTGACCCATAATAATCCAAGTTGGATGTAGCTGTCAGCTCTTGATTACTTGTCTTACTCTAAGTGATGTTGATGTTACTAATGAAAAATTACAGAAAGCCCACCAAGTTATTTGGAATTCATTTCATGATTTTTTTTTTGCATTAGCTGAATCAAATGTAAATTCATACATATACTTAATGGAGGCTTTATTCAAAAGAATTTGCATTTCTTTTGTGTGTGTACACTATATATAATTAGACCTGATTGCTAGTATATTTGGATTTTCTTTGGGGAGTGATGAAAAAATTCTAAATTTAGTTCGTGGCGATTGTTGTACAATTTGTGAATATGCTAAAAACCACTGACTTCCGCATTTTAAATGGGTGAATTTTATTGTATGTGAAATGTGTATTATATGTTTCTTTTAAAAATGTTTCCCTTTCTACAATATAGAAAAAGAATTTGATATAGAAATTGAAAGAGTTGAAATTCTAACTCCAGCACTTCCTAGAAGGTGATCTTAGGTATGCTCTCTTCTATAAAAAGAGCATAATAATGGTACCTAGTACATAGGATTGTAGTGAGGATTGAAATAAGGTAATAAGGCCTTTAGCCTGCAACACAGTAAGTTGTCAACAAGTATTATAGCTCTTATTGTTGTTAATTATTATTAACTTTATATTTTTCTAAATATAATAAACATAAATAGAAAATATAAAAATAAATTTAACTTTATAATTAACTTTGTAAAAACTTGCTCTGTACTTTGTGATTTTACAGAGCCTCTTTCGTGCATTATTTTCTTCATTTATTCAACAAATCTTTGTTGAATACCATCTTCTTTTTAGTAACAGTGTGAAGTGAGTCTGCTGTGAAATAAATGAAACATACCTCCTTTATTCTTGGTGGAGTCATTAGCCTGGAAGAGAGAATACGAAGTCATGGGAACAAAATTTGATAAGTGTACTGTAGTGCTTTGGTTCTCAACCTCTTTTTGGAGAGCTACGAATGACAGATACAGTTGATATGTGTGTGCATGTGTGTAATATACTTCCTTGTTCTGATATAGATGTCACGGTAACTGAAGCAGAATGGGAATAGATTCTTGATTATTCATAATTTCTAGGGTGCTAGAAGGCCAGTGTTTGCCTAGTTATTAGGAAACCTCGTTTTGTGTGCAACTAAGACTATGTTCCAATCTTAATTCTACTTCTTAGTAGTTGTGAGTTCTTGGATGAGTTATTTAACCTCTTCATGATTCACACTTGCTTATCTATAAGGGGCTGAGGGGATGTCATATAATAACGTGCCTCATAGGATTGTTGTGACAATTAGAGAAGAAAAAGCATTTGAAAAGCTAAGTATAAGAATTGTGATACCTAGTAAGTACTTTGGTTTACCATATGCCAAGCATTGTTCAAAAGTCTTTACATACATTATAAACTCAGTCAATATGAGGTCTCTAATTATACAAATAAGGAAATGGGCTTAGAAAAATTAAGGAATATATCCAAAGTCACATAGCTAATAGTGGAAATGGGGTTCAAACCCAGGCACACTGACTCCAGAGCCCGTACCATCATCCACACTTGCTGTTACTTAAAACCCATTACTCTAGCAGGAATAGATACACAGTGATTTGGGGTTCTATTGTGAATATAACTTTTATGCCATAAGATAGGCAGAGTAGCAGCATTCTCCCCAAAGTTACAATGTCACATACATAGACACATGTACACAGCACCAGTAGGACTCAGGAAGGACAATGATTTACACTAAATGCAGGAAAAAATCTGACATTTAAGTCATTCTCTAACTATAACATAATACATTTCACACATTCTCCAGCAAACCTATTTGGGCTGTATATATGACGTTCCTGTCCATTCATTTTGCTCCCTAATTTCCTTCCCAATGTATGTTCCCTTCCCATTTCATATCCTATTAAACTTACTGGTAACCTTCCAGAAGAGTTTGAACTGTATGGGGATATTTGTTAGATAGTTCATATTTAAAATGCAGGTGAGCCTAAAGCCTCTGGCCTTTTGAAATGGATCTCATGGGTTTTTCCTTGTTCCTTACCTCTTATTAAATGACTACTCTGCACATCTGTCCAAAAGATTCTTATTTTCTGAAGGCTAAGCATTTTATTTGTTTTTACAGTGGTGAAATTATGATTACATAACTTTCCCAAGGCTCATGACTCTGAAGTGGGTGGCTAGAATTCAAGCCGTAGACCCACAAGGAAGTGTGATTTTATTAGATCACAGACGTAAGATACACATGATTTTAAAGAACGTTAAAAGGCTTTGGTAGTCGCTTAATTATAAAATGTATCCAGTCAAGAAATGTTTATTAAGTGGATATAATGGGTGGGCCGACACTGTCCCAGCTGTTGGGAACACTTCAGGGAACATGGCCCTCCCCTCATTAGCTTAGATTCTAGTGGGAGAGAAAGATTACAAACAAGAAGGTAGTCTAAATAGTGATAAGTCCTATGAATAAATAAAATAATAAAATTAAAAATAAAATAAATTTTAAAATAAAAACAAGTTAACATGAAAATAAATGCCTTGGAGGAAGCAACATTAAGTAGAATAGTTAAGAAAAGCCAAAATATAACCTAAATGACAAGAAGGAACCAGACATGCAAAGATCTGGCTCATACATGTCATCATATAGATCAGGGTTTTTTTTTCAGACTGTGACCCACAGTAACATATACTTCACAACCGGTGGGTGGGTGTAGATATGCACGCTCGCACACACACACATGCACTCGGAGGAACGTGCGTGTATAAATTCAAACAAACGTTTCATGAAATATTACTTACCTTTATAATGTGATGAATTTTATTCTTTTTCTCTTCTATTTCATATTTGAAAATGTTGGTTGCAACTCAGTTTATTTCATGACCAACAAGTGAGTTGCAACCTGCATTACAAAAAACACTAATTTAGATCAGTGGTTTTCAAACTTCAGTGTGCATCAGAAGTACCTGGAAAGCTTGTTAAAATATTAATTGATAGGCCCCACCTCCATTTTCTGATTTCTTATGTCTGGAAGGACCCGATAATTTGCATTTCTAGTGAGTTTCCAGGTGATTCTGATACTTCTGATCCAGGGATCAAGCTCTGAAAACCACTGTCTAGATATGTGGTCACAACCCCCTGGCCGCAGACTAGTACTAGTCTGAGGTCTGTTAGGAACCAGGCCACAGAGGAGGAGATAAGTGGCAGGTGAGGAATCAAGCTTCATCTGTATTTACAGCGGCTCCCCATCGTTGGCATCATTGCATAAGCTCCGCCTCCTATCAGATTAGCTGCGGCATTAGATTCTCATAGGAGCGTGAGCCCTACTGTAAACTGCGCATGCGAGGGATCTAGGTTGTGTGCTCCTTACCAGAATCTAACGCACGGTGATCTGAGGTGGAGCTGAGGCCGTGATGCTAGCGCTGGGGAGTGGTGGCAAATATAGATTTTCATTAGCAGAGAGGTTTGACTACACAATAAATGTGATGTGCTTGAATCATCCCAAAACCATTTGCCCCGCCCCCGGTCCATGGAAAAATTGTCTTCCATGAAACCAGTCCCTGGTGCCAAAAAGGTTGGGGACCGCTGGTCTAAATGGTATTTAAAGTCATAGGAGCTGATGAGTTTACTTAGAAACAGTGTTTAGACAGCAACAAGGTGCAAGCCCAGCACCTGCCGGAAGAGCCAGCAAAGGAGCATTCTAGCATAAGAACACTTCCAGGAGATTGTGGCATTATGTAGTTTATGAGAAAGTGTTTCAAGAGGGCTTCTGTCACTGAACTTCAGTGGCCAACTGTGGAACGCTACTGAGAGTTTGAGGAGGTTGGAGACATAAAAGTAACCGTTAGCAACAAGGAATTGAGGAGGAAGAAGAGAAAGAGGATGCTTGATAAAATAACCGTAGTTATTATTATTCAGATTATTGTAAGAATTATTAATAAATGTTACAACCAATATAGAAAGTGTGTTATGTAATAGGCATTTATATTTTAGATCATTAACTTGCATTGTTGAACATATTTTATCTGGGTATCTAATTATCATAAGAAGTTTTATAACCATCAGTTGAACCAAAGTTGCTTGAATTTTAAGAATTATGAACAATTAAGAATTAAGAAACAGGGCCAGGTGTGGTGGCTCACACTTATAATCCTAGCACTCTGGGAGGCCAGCATGGAAGAATCACTTGAGGCCAAGAGTTCAAGACCAGACTGAGGCAAAAGTGAGACCCTGTCTCTACAAAAAAATAGAAAAATTAGTCAGGCATGGTGGCGCACCTGTAGTCCAGCTACACTTGTAGTCCAGCTACACCTGTACTTGGGAGGCTGAGGCAGGAGGATCACTTGAGCCCAGGAGTTTGAGGTTGTAGTGAGCTATGATGACACCAGTGCACTCTAGCATGGGTGACAGAGTGAGACTCTGTCTCCAAAAAAAAAAAAAAGAAAAAAAAAGAATTAAGAAATGATGTACTTCATCAATGCTTAGCTGTTGACAAAACTACCATTATCCAAGGTTGCAATGTTTGTCTAAGACATGTATTGATGGTGCAGGAACTTTTGACTTACCTTGTGGTAATAGCCTTTAATACCTAAATTTAAAACCAGATTGTCTTGTCAAAGATTCAAGATCACTAAGGGCATGACAAGACCACTCAGTTCACGATCACATGGTGACTTTAAAGGTTTTCTTTCCAGCCTTACTCCTCTGATCTCCTGACCCACTTGGCTTTTGGGAATATGCCAGGTCCTTTTTCCACTAGCGCTTTAAATCCTTTCACCAAAATAAAATGTTATGTCTTCCTCTAGGCTGGCCTTTTACCTCTTGTTCTCTGTTCTGACTAAGGTCATTACCAGTGTTCCCATCCCCCCAGCCCAGAATGAAACTTCTTTTCTGTTTGTTCTCTCTTCCTGACAACGGATCAACAGATACACGTGAACCTTCATTCCTAGTCTCTCGCATTCCTAGTTTCCTTTACATTTTTATTACCACATTTTTAGTAATCATATGGTAATAATCACAATTTATTGAGTACCTACTACGTGTCATACATTCTCAACAACTCTTTAAATGCATTCTCGGTTGATACTCAGAAGAGCCTTTGAAGGAAGTATTGTACTTTATGCTGATTTCAGCTTAATGTCACCTTCTTTGGAAAACCTTGCCTGACTCCTTAGTCTAATATAGGTTCCTGCATTTTTCTTTTTCTAGCATTTAGCAAAATATAATTTTTACTGTACTTATTAGATTAATACCTGTGTTCCCCACTAAACCCTCTTAAGTTTCATGAGGCTAGTGACCCTCTCTGTTTTGGCCTGACACATTATAGAAACTCAGTATTTGGGGCAAATTAATAACATAGGGTATGTGACTTGCATAGTCAACAGTGGGGATGTGATGAAAATCCATGTCTGCTCGTGGTGCTTCAGAGATACCCTGCCTGTGGAACTGTACCGTCCATCTAGTTTCAGAGCACTCTGTGCAGAATAGCTTGACTTCTCTTTCCTCACATGCCATCCCTCACCTTATCTAAACGTCTCAGTCCCCTAGGAGAGAAGCCACACCTCCAGAAAATCCTGCTTTGTTCACTTTGATCGCAGAAGTTAGATGCTTTTACACCAGCCAGGTCTTTATAACCTGTCAGCATTCATTCTTTCAACTACATTTGTAAACTACAGGGAACAGAAGATTTTGGAATGACTTTTTGTAACGTACAAGAGAGTGGTCATAAAGCAGCAGTGAGACTCTCACAACAGACATGTCTCTTGACTCAGATAAGGTCTAGAAACTCAGAGAATCATTGACTTGCTTGTTGTCACTGGCTTTTAAGTATATAGCAAAAATGTGAATGGAACCCCACAGTATAGAAATCCTAAATCCCTTTCTTTATACTTTAATTCCAGAAAAGCATTCTCTTAGGTATTTTTTTTTCACCTTAATTTTTTTTTTTCTCAGAAAGGATCTGGTCATCATATGTCATAATAGAATGCTTGGTATAAAGAGTATATTTGAGTACGAAGCATAATGATAAAATTAACCTACGTACT